AAACTAAAAATACGACAGGAAACCGTCACCAGTTTCTCGTCTTAGGTTGCCGACCCTTCCAGTACGGCATTCGTCGGGGCCGGCCTATCCTAGTCGTCTCTCTGCCTCCTGTCCTCCGTGCTCCGGGCTCGGTCCGGGCGGCCACCCGGCCCATCGACGAAGAGACGGGCCGGGCCGGGCGCTCTGGCGACAAGCGCTCGGTGGCTGGCGGGCGGAGCCCGACCGCCCATCGCAGAACTCTGGTCCTTGGTGAGAGTGGGAGGGACCAATATGCCCAGAGACTTCAAGTACTAAAAGACCTCCTTGCAGTATGGTCCTCAGGGAAGGAGGCAGGCATTATGACAAGTCTGTACATTGTTATATTTTCAGCATTCTATAATTGTTTCAAATTAGAATGTAAAATTAACCCATCTAATCATCTATGTATTTTAATAGTTCATTCAACTAGAAGGAACACTGTTGATAGGAGTAACACCCTTACTACCGTGGAAGAAATTCAAGTGAACAATGAAACTACTATGGTGCATCAAAGTAATTTCTCTAGAGAATTGAAACTAGCTTGGATTACTATTTGTACTTTTCCATCTTTTGCCTATGACAATTCTTTCATGATGTGTCATGATCTCTTTTAGACAACTCTGAAGTACGTGATGATGAGGCGACCTCTTCTGCATCCGCTTCCAAGCCAAGTACTCAATTTCAAACAATTTCCATGGTCCACCAAGGTGACTTTTCTATTGGCTCAATCCTTGCTTGAATTTTTCAATGTACTTTTCTATTTCTTCTGTTCTGATATGTTTGTCATGATCTTTTTAAGTCAACTCTGAATCATGCCATGATGGCGCCTCTGCATCCCCTTCGACTTCAACTACTCCAGTTCAAAGAATACCGATAGTTGTGGTCACCCAAGGTAATCACTCTGGAATGGGCTAATACTCGCTTGAAATGCAGTACTATGTTTATCTTCCTATTTACATCTGTGCTGGGTCTTAATTGTTTCATTATGTTATTTCAGATGGTTCTCTACTTGATGATGACAATGACAACATTCTGAGCTCTGTAGCTGAAGGATTGGATGAAGGGAACAAAGGTCAAGAAGGTGATGATGACTTTGTAATTTTGAGTAAGTTTTATCCCATCTGTTGAGAACTGATGTGAAGCCATGTTCGACATCTCACCAATTCTTTCAATCTCAGCACCAGGGCCTTTTTAACATGTGAAATCTCAATCTTATCTTGCCAACTGGGTCATAATTGTTTTATCATGTATTTCAGATGCTTCTTTACCTCATGATGACAATGACGACATTCTGAGCTCTGTAGCTGAAGAATTGGATGAAGGGAACAAAGATCGAGAGAGTGATGATAATGAAGTTTCGAGTAAGTTGTATCCCATCTGTTGGAAACTGAGGTGAAGTCATGTTCAACATCTCACCAATTCTTTCAATTTTCAATCTCAGCTCCAGGGCCTTTAAATCTGCGAAATCTCAATCTTATGTTGCCAACTTCGATTAAGCACAAGGGGAGGCCTAAAGGAATAGGCAAAACCACCAACTATTACAAGAGGATTAAAGGTATCTTTTAAGTGAATTTTTCAAAGTATACAACATTTAAACAGTCTCTTCCTGGGTATATTTACTCTCTCTATTTTTATAGGCCGGCCACTCTGTTCATCAGCTAAAAAAGGAAATGCAAGAAAAGAAAGGAGTTTGGCAATTTCTAATGAAGATGTAACTAAAATTAATAAGAACCTTTGGAAGGTAAGATCTCAAACAAACAGAAAGGTGGTGTACTCTGTTAGAATGGAAGGAGTGAACCTTATCTGCTCATGTCCTGACCGTAACGAACTGTGTAAACATGTTCTCAAAATCCACGATGGACTTTTGGATGAACCAGGTATTTTGTTTTCAAATTTGATTATGCAGTTTTTATATCCTCCATATCTAAATGAAAATTATTTTGGTAGAAAGTCGCAGTGTTATGATTAGGGCCTCAAGTGGGGATGCATGCATACTGGGGACCTGGTAGACACACCTTTTCTTTTATTGGTATTGAGCATGATGTGGGAGTAAACAATAATTTTTATTTAGAAAATTGTTATTTTGTTTCAGCTTATAAAACTATTGCAATGATCATTCACATGCACAAAGTGATATCAGATCATAAAATTGTATAATCTTTACTGTTAACTGGTTAACTTTTGCTGTGTTACGTGGCTGATCAGTGCATTGGTTTCTACATCTGTTGTCTATAAAGTGTAGTGTGGTGAGTAAATTAGAGCATGTTGAAAGTTTACATTTGTTACCTCATTGTAATACTTCCAGGAAGGTTCAGTGCCAGTAGGAACAAAAAGATACCAAGATCTCCATTTAGTATTTGTTTGGAAGGCAGCTGCTTTTATTGTGTGATGAGAACCAACTAACATGTTCTTAGATTTGAAACTAACCTGGGATATGTTGGCACATGAACCCAATAATTGGTAATCTTTGTTCCAGCCATATTTTTTCCTTTTTGCAACTTACAGTAAAATCATTGCAATAGTCTCTTCTCTAATCACAAATCTCATTATAATTAAACCAAAATTTTAGTTACATGCGCTGAAATTTGTCATTTTTGAGTAATTGACCATTGCATTGATTTTTTCTGTCTCCTAACGTGTTTGTGGTGAGTGATGATTTGATGAACAAAACTCTTTGCATATGTGACGTGTCATATTTGGATTTAGAGTGGTGAAAACTAGTGAAGGAAAGGGGAATTATTAAAGATTTATTCTTAATTCCTTCTTTCTCAGCAGCTGACAAAAAGAATTATGGTCTCAGGTCTCTGTTAGTCAGCCTTCATCTTCCCTCGTTTTCATCCCTCAACATCCTCCGAATCAACCTTAATAATCATTATTGCTGTTATTAAAATAAGTAAGGAAAGATTTGTACAGATCATAACTTAAAGCATTTGAATTTTTTTTTCAGATGCTAATGAAATTTTCCTAGACGATCCTGTAGGTGGTAATGTACCAGGAGTTTGTAAATCAGGTATGTAAATATCTGTTCAAACTGTGTTTTGTGTATTTATCTACACCCTACAGACCTGCCTCTGGTCGGCACGGTATCGCTTGATGATGATCATTTTGTTTTGTGCAGGAAAACAAAGAACCAAGAGGAAATTGACAAATTCGCTTGAGTCAGGAGATTGTGAGGAGAATGATTCAGAAGAAATAAATTTGGCTGCTGACAATGAAGATGAAGCCGTTAATAATGATGATGAAAACTTGGGTTTGTACACCATTCTCTTGTACATTTTGAGTCATGTTCTATGTCTTTCACTAGCAGAATCTATTTATCTCATTTCTTCTTCATTTCAGGTACTCAAAAATCTAGTTATGGGCGTGCAATAAAAAGGAAAATAGTGTTCACACCTTCCAAAGACTAGACATTTTTAAAAGCGACTGTGTATTTTTTAAAGTTGTATGTTTTATTTTTTTTAAATGACATTAGCACCCACATTTTAATTGTATTTTAAGATTTAAAATATTTTAAAATTTAAAATGATTTTGGAATTTTAAATGATTTTTCACTATTAAATGATTTTTTATACATTTATTAAGAGTTTTTCCATATTCTATAGACCCATATTCATGTTTGTTGCTTTCTTGTGGTGCCTCAGTTCGCATGCCCACATAGAGGTCACATTGCAGGCGGCAGGTTGGGGGGTGGTTGACGCCATAGTGGTCACATTCCAGGGGGAGGTAAGGGGAGGGGGGTTGACCACATAGTGGTCACATTGCAGGGGGAGATTTGGGGGGTTGACCACATAGTGGTCACGTTGCGGGGGTGGGGTAGGTTTGGAGGGGGTGACCACATAGTGGTCACATTGCAGGGGTAGGTTGGAGGGGGTGATCACATAGTGGTCATATTGCAGGGAGAGGTTAGGGGGTGACCACATAGTGGTCACGTTGCAGGGG